GCCTCCATGACATGGGGCGCCCGGGGCGCGGGGAGATGCTGATCCGGAAGAGGCGGTGGCTGCAGTGCAGCGCGCGCGGCCGCTCCCGGCCCGCCGTCCGGCCTGGGCTGCTCTGCCAGAGTTTCTGATCCAACGCGACCCGGTCCGGGCCCGGAGCCCCAGCAGCACAGCGGCGGCGCCGGCATCGTCCTAACTTGCACGCGCGGAGTGACCCAGACATTTCACTAAAATGAGCGTGCTTAGCAGGAAGAGATGTGGTCCTTACACTAGCAATTACCCCGTCACATGTAGTGGTGTAAGTAAATGATTAATTTCTGCTATGGCCGGGGTGCAAGCAGCCTTGGCCAACGCGCCGCTTCGCTCTCCGGCTGCCTCCTGCGCCCTACCTGCCCTGTCTCGGCTCCCGCTCCTCCCGCTCCTCCCTTGGCGATTGCTGCCGCTGCTGGGTTCCGAGGGGAGGGAGAATAACCTTTTCCGGGGTTTTCTAGGGAAACGAAGATGGCTTGATTGCCTTGGCGTGTCGTGCCCCTCCCCCTTTCCTATTTGTGTATTTGTGTGTGTGTAGAGTACTGTACAAGGAGAAAAAAAATCCAGAGTGGTGAAAATGTCTATTTAAAAAAAGGAATTTGGGCATTTTGCTGGAGGTTTCACGACAACTCCATTGCAGTCTGTGCAGCGGCTTTCTGGCGACTACTGGTGGGGGTTCTGGGCGTCGTTTGTGGATGTTCGGGCATCGGTGGTTTGGGCAGGCTTACCCCAGGCTCGACTGGGCTGCCGTTGGTGTGAAGGTGGCCATTCGCCTCCCCTGGGGCCTTGCTTTCCGTTGGATCCACCTTCCCCATGTGACAGTGTCAGCAACCCCAGGGCCACTTCCTTCAGCTCTGTGTCCACCCTGTCTTCTCTCGCTGTGATGTTCCTATCCATTCGCCTTCATTTTTACCTTCATTTTCAGGATTTTCTTCCCTTTTGCGTTTTGTAAGATGCAGGATGTGGGATATTGGTTGCTAGGAGACAACCAGGCTCCCTGGGAGATTCTGTTGTTTCCTTGACAACCAGACTAGGGCAGCTACAGATGAACAAGCCTCCTATCAGCTTGGGGAGGGAAAGGGGGCCTTTCTGAGCGGTGCAAAGTGTGTGTAGGGGTGTGGGGGTGGGAATGGGAGCCCGTGAGGTTTGTAGCTAATCAGAGCACACCTAGTTTTGGCCGGGACTGAATACAGTGAGCTGGGAGAGTAGTGGGCAGGAGACTGCTTCGGGATCGAGGCGGGGGTGGGGGGTGGGGGGGCAAGGGACAGGCGTTGTGGGATAGGGGTCAGGAAAGCGCGTATTGGTGACTCTGGGATTACTGCAGGTGAGGAGTGAGAGGGGTGGATGCCCAGGGTGGGGTGGTAGGAGGCCGTAGGTTACCCTGGTTGGGAGGAAGGGACATGAGGGACATGAGGCAGTAGTGAGGCAGTCTCGTCACTGAGAGAGAAAGAGCAGGGAGAAGGGACGTGGGCAGCTGTGAGTGGTCGTGCCGAGCAGTGACACCAGAGGGTCAGTTTCCCAGAGCGAGCATCGCAGCTCAGTGTTCAGTGTGCTGCCTCCGGGATGGGGGCCTCGCTCCAGACAGGCCTGATTACGCGGGGAGTTGTGCTGGCTTAATTGGGCCAGTGTGTATCTAAAGAGAGATATAATTACACATATAGATGTGCAATCTAGCATTATATAATACTGCATTACATAAGGAGACAAATGCCTTTCAGCCCAGGCTCTCCTGGCATGAATTAACCAGGATCCGGGAGACTTCCTGCCATGTCCTCATACCCATTTTGCAGAGGGGGAGACTGAGGCCCAGAAGTGACTTACCCTTTCCCAGACGGGACATGAAGTTTACCAGTCAGGCAGTAGGGAAGGGGTGGAATGGGTGAGGCTGATAAGCATAGGGAGGAAGTCTGAGGGTAGCTGGGGGTGGGAGAGGGCTGCTCAGCTCGGGGCCGCAACTCCAGCAGGTCTGCTATCCACACTCAAGGCCCAGTATGTGCCACTCCTGCCGGCTGGCTCACTGCCCCTTAACCCTAGAAGTGACATATCAGGTGTGCCACGTGTGTTCACTGCAAAGTGGCTGCCCCTGGACCAGTACAGCTCCACCAGTGTCCTGGCATCGGCCTCACCGCCAGGATGCCCCTCCTCACGCCTCTGCCCACAGACCTATGGTCACTGGAATCCACACCGGAGGGAGTTCTGCCTGCTGGCGAGTTTTAGCTTTACCCGCAGTTGCGTGGAGTCCGCAATCGGGACTCTGTCATTCACTCCATCAAAAACCACACCCGATGAATCCTCCCAATGCCAATGTACCCTCAGCTTGAGACAGGAGCTCTCAGAGTGGATCCCTGCTCCTTAGCTCAGGAGAGGGAAGAAAGTGGCGGAGCCAGTGGTTAGGACACTCTTTGCAGGGGGTGGGAGGGTCAGAGTGAGGAAGTTGCTGCGGAGCCTGGGAGGGCATTGCTGGAGACCCTTGCTGCTTAAGGGTCCAGATCCTGTAAAATTCCAAGGAGGCGGAGGCTTTCTCATTGAGAAGTCCTTGCTGCACTTTTTGCTTAGGTTGCCTAGATGCGTCCACTCCTGTGAATCCCAGTTGCCTTCTTGCTTGGTATTTTGGTTCTGCATTCCTG